GCTGTTCCGACCAGGTTCTCAGCAAAAGTCCTGCAGTAACCTGCTTCGCACTCTTCTCGTGTGAAATGAGCTTTCACTATAGCTAAGCGGAAGGCTCTCAAATGAGCCTTGGGGTCCGAGGTCCCGTCGTATTCGGGAATCCTAATTTTTCGGGTATCTCTTATGTAAGAGCTAGCGATTTTGTCTGTGAATGGGGTCCTACGGGTTTCCTCAATCAAGCTCTCGATTTTGGGAGCCGAGCTTGTTGCTTTATGCACTTGAGCGTTCAGCTTCTGGAGGGCTGCGTGAGTTTGCTCCATGTATCGGCGGATAGCCTCAGGTCCTTCTAGAGGAAGGACAGTTGGATCTTCGCGGGGAATCTGATGAGAAGATTCTTGGTGGAGTCGAGTGTTGCCGTTGTCCCAAGCGTTAGGTGGACTAAATCGCTCGTTAGCTCTAGAGTCACTTTGAGGGACGTGACCCAGGGGGTGAGCTGTGGGATCAGCTTCCGTTCTTGGGTTGTCTCGGTTAGGGGCTGTGCTTCCATTTTGGTAAGCTGAGGTCGGTACCCTGCCTCTAGGAGGGGGAGACATCCCTTCTCCGGACCTAAAGATAGGTGGCGGAGGTGGCAATCGGGTGCTGTGCTCGTGAACCCTATTGGGTGCTGAGCTAGTCGTCGCTATGTTACTTCCCATAGCACTAGTTACGGGTGGACTAAATACTGGGAATGCCCCGGTAGGAGGTGTCCGGAGAACAGGCTCTTGCCCGTTATGAGCAATGCTGTTGGGGGAAAAGTTCAGGCGTCCGCGAGGGAACGTGGGTTCGGTGAGTCGATCTCGAAAGGCGATTCCTGAGCCTTGGCGTTGCGATGGCTGAGTTGTTTTGGTTAGAGATCTCGTCACCTCTTCGAACCGTTGCTGCCGGGCAGTTAGCTGTTGCAAGGTACGTTCGTTGTCCTGGGCTATTTCTACTAACTGCACCATCATTCGGCGCATTTCGGATAGCTGAGCTTCCGAATGATGCGGAGTGTATTGGCGTTGAGGGTTTTCAGGAGGAGTAGTTCCGGTATTGTTTCCACCGGAAGACCTCGGGTTAGCTATCCCAGTTCGGTTCGGTTGAGCGTTAGCCGGAGGCTGTTGCTCGGATCGAAGGTCAGCGGGTTGAGGTTCCGGATCCTGAGGGTCCGGATCTCTTCTGTTCGGTGATCCGTCGATCTGGATCACGGGATCCGGGATGGATGGATTCGTTGCCTGGTTGGATGGATCCANAGTTCGGTTCGGTTGAGCGTTAGCCGGAGGCTGTTGCTCGGATCGAAGGTCAGCGGGTTGAGGTTCCGGATCCTGAGGGTCCGGATCTCTTCTGTTCGGTGATCCGTCGATCTGGATCACGGGATCCGGGATGGATGGATTCGTTGCCTGGTTGGATGGATCCATTCTCAAGTTACGGAGTGAAGGATTCAATTATCTCTTCCCCACAGACGGCGCCAAAATGTGAGGGGTAAAACTCACTTCCTAGTTTAGGTTAGGTATAGATTGGGAAAAGATAATCGTGGGCTGAATCCTGTTGGAACTTGTATGAATGAATACGTTGTTTATATTGATTTTTATGATAAAAAGAGTTTACAAGGATGATCTTGACGATCTAATAGAGAGAACAATGGTTGATAGAAATATGACCAAGAACAAAGAGTATTAGAGTCTTCTTATGTTGAATGAATCGAATCCCCTCTTTCTGATCTCTTCTCTTCTTTATATAGCACTAGGTCACGTCCAACTTCTTCCGGCGAAGCCTCCATGATTATCTCCGTGAGTTGCGGGATTTGCAACAGCTTCCTCTTGACTAAGTCTTGCACGTTTCCCCGGAGCTGTTTCTCGTTAGCTGTTTTGTAAACGAGGTCCCGAGTCTTTTGTCCGTGACCTGTTTTTATCGATAGGTAACGATTTCATTTGATCCTTGTTTGAGGGAAGGCTTTCTAATGGGCTCGTAATGCCTCATAAATGGTTTCAACTATTCGGCCCATTAATTCAGCTAACGGGCTAAATTCGGGCCCAACAATATCCACTACTATCTCTTCCAATGTATTCACCGTCACGTTTTCAACATCACCTCCGTATCCACATCCATCACCACGATGTCTACCATCCACGGCGTCTACAACCACCACATCCACCACAACCACCACGATCTCCTCAACTGTATTCACCCTCACGTCTTCCGCCATCATCTCCGTATCCACATCCACAACCACGATATCCACATCCACAAATCACGGCATCCACCACCACCACATCCACAACCATAACATCCACCAATATCTCCTCCACTGTATTCACCGTCACGTCTTCTACCATCACCTCCGTATCTACATCCATCACCACAATGTTTATCATCCACGGCGTCTACCACCACCACATCCACCACAATCACGACATCAAGATGAGAAATCCATGACGGATGTTATTGAATGAATGAACGGATTGAACCATGCTCAGTCTCGTGGAAGCGTTAGCGGTTGAGCTGTGGTGGAGATGGTGGTGAATACCTAAATAGAAGTGGTGGTGGTTACGTAGAAGGCGGTGGGAAGAACATGCAGCGAAAGAAAGATGATATAAAAGGTTAATTACATATCTTAATCAATAAGATTAGAGTTACAGTTCATAGATTTCGAATTCGAATCACATGTCAGAGATCTGGGTAAAAAATTAAAAGAATTGATTTGGGAAATCTGAAGAGATAATAAATTAGATATTTGTATAAAAGAAATATAAATGACAAATGAGATTTGGTTTCGTTAGACAAACTAACTAGAAACACTCTCTCCTTAATTAGGGGTCATCTTGGTAAATTAACAAAGATAAAGTATGTTATATCACAATGTGTCTCTTAAGGAAATTGGAAACTCAAACAGTGTCTCCAAAGGTAAATATTTCTTTTAAAAGTGATCCATTTAATTATTGACATGACGCCATCACCACTTCTTTTCTTTCACTTGTACCATTCTCCATCATTTTCATTTCAACATAAGAGCTGATATTGTTACCACTGACAATAATAGTCCCAACTGATTTTTGTGCTTCGTTTTCCTCCAGTGCAACTAGTTCATTTAGTTTTTTCTTCATCTCATTATGCTTTCCCCATAACACAACATATAGCCCACATACAATCAATATTGCTCCCAGTGCACTAAACATTTGAAAACACTATTAGTATATGCATATATATTTTATGTTATAATCCTCAAAATGTATATTGCATTTTACCTTCCTAAGTAAAGCTTTTCATCCAAGAACAAATTACCAGCTAAGGCAACAATCACGAGCAAGAGGGGGTTGAAGACGGCTACAAAGAGTGGACCCCTTAGCCTCGCACTAATTGACATTAGTGCTACAACTAGTGCTGTCCCCACTGTTCCCTAATTATTTTAGTTCCAAACATACGTTTGCTAACAGTGTTAATTCAATATAAAGAGGTCTGATAGCATATATTAGATTCAAAAAATGTCATAAAATAGAAATGAATATATACCGAATATGCAACGGTCCATAACCTAATGTCCCAGCCGAGCTTCCATTGTGACCAATCCCTTTCCACGAATAATGCATATATAGTCGACTGAAAGAAAGCCATTAAGCTCATCAACGCTGTACTCGCGTAATGGCATGGAAATGTTTCACTCATCTTTGCCTGCATTGAAAAATTTGTGTACCAAAAACAATTTAATACATATCATTTCATTAGTCGATGTCTATATATTTTTTTTTTTAACTGGGAGGAGTTTGAACCTTGCCTAATATCTCCATAGACCCGAGACCATCAATTGATAATATCTTAGGTCATGGTGTAAAGCATCTTACTAGCGGGAATCAAGCTAAGGGTACAATGTAAGCACTTTGTTATGCTAAACCACTAGCCCAACACACCATTGGATATATATGTTCTTTTTTCATAACCACAAATCCTTAGCCAACCAGACCATTCAGCATACACACAAAGCCCTAACATCAATGAATATATGTTACTCACCTGTATTATGATCCATATAGCATAGGAAAAGCAGCTACTAAGGGCCAAACAGGCTCCCAATACACGGTGATCCGACGCCAGCAAAGCCTTGTGGCCGGTGCTTCTACCAGGAAGAAGGTTAATGTCGGACTTCAAAAAATCAATAGAAAAGCCTTTGTAAAACGTGAACAGCATCGCTCCACCTATTCCCATTAGAGTCCCGAATACTTTTGCCTTCCCTACAGCTGTTCCGAACTTTAATTTCTCCAACCTTTGATAAATCAATACAAGTACGTATGTTATATATATAAACTCATATCACATGTATGCTTTTCGATATGTGTACTAATATATAAGGGATTACCTTGCAGAAATGCCAATGATAAATGTTACGGCGGGTATAAGATTTGCCATTGCAGTTATGAATGTAGCCGACGTTAGTGCCATGCTTTCCATATATAGATTGTGTGCTAATGATCCCCTGCAATATCATATGCATTTATATCATATGCATGACATTATTTATATGTATATATGAACATACTGATAAAATAACATGCACGATTAAAAAAAAATTTAATATCAATTATATCATGTAATCAAGTATACTGGGTACATATTAGTTATTATATTATCAGTTTAGAATATTGTATTCACATGTTTATAGATAAGGTAGAGGTAGAGGTAGACGTATAGCCTCAATGAGAAAAGGAAGTTTTAATAACAATAATGTGGATTATGTGTCACCTTACAATTTAGACACCGTTCGTTGTATATACTCTGATCTAGTAAAATAGTTTTTGTATATTCCTCTACTTGAACGATCATATGCAGTGATACACAGCATATACATAGAAACGACATATCTATATACCCAGCAAGAACATTAGTAAAAGAACTTTTATGACCTGTTGATAAAATGTTACAGGTTAAGGCAAGTTTTACAGATTAAGGCAAGCTTTCTCCACCCACAAAAATAAGCACAGCTCCGCACGCATATATGTCAACAAGATTCGGATACCTCAGTTTTAAGTTAATTGAAAGATCGAACATTTCAAAATTATTTACCCGAATAAGCCACACAGGAAACCTTGGAGGATAATTTTCCATGTTATTTTTGGTCTTCTTTCCCTGTAAAAAGAACATATATTTTTAGTATTTCTTTCCATGAATTGCACAGTTAGCCTCCGATTCATGTAACATAGCGTGATGAACTGTCCAAACTTCTTGTCTTTAAGTATATTCAGGTAGACAAAAATGGAAATCGGCTAGCAGCTTACCAGAGAGATTGAATAATCAGACATGTATAACATAGAGTTTTACCTTCTTCTTTTTTTGCATTCGTACATATAATTCCTAACTTTCTATGAATATGTACTGTATATTGAAGAAATAATAAAAGGACGCAGTAATATTTGTACATGGAATCCAAAGAAAATGATCACATGCTAGTTTAGGAACTTGCCGGTTGAAGAAGAAAGCAAGAGGAACCATAACCACTGTTGATAGGAGGAAGCGATAAGCGAGGAGGACAGGTACGCTCACGCCACTGCTTATGGCCAACTTGAAGAAGATGTTGACTCCAGCTAGAGCCATCTGAACCACCAACATCAGTATCACCGGCTTCATCCCATTTGCCAGAACCATTTCCGCAGAGGATAACTTGTTTAATTATGGGAAATGAACATCTAATTGTACATATATAAATACACATGTTGGTGTATATAAGGTGAATCAGATGTCCAATGAAAAATTCATGGTGGTAAACATATACAACAATGTTACGTATTTACCCATGAAGACCACCACAACTATTTCAATTGTTTCTATAACAATGTTATACATATATAAATTCAGGACTAACCAAATGAAAAAAATGTTTGCTTAGGTCAAAAATGACTAAGTTATAAGATAATTTAGCAGTAAATTGGACAGCCAGTCAACGTTGTACATCTATATGTGAACACACCGACAATAATAGAGATTTTAATTTTGATTCTATGACACCAATTTCTGTTTTTTAAAGACTACAAGAGTTATCAACATTATTTCGAAGTATGATTTTTAGTTGTTTATGTAACTTTGACTTGAAATTTGTGTTTTGTTCCAAACTAAAGGCTAGTCCTCTTTTTTGTCAACAAGGCTAGTCTTTAAAGATAAGCTGTTAGAAAGAGCTTTGTTCTTTAGACATTAGACAGGGCTCATCATGGTTGTTCAAAAAAAAAAAAAAAGACAGGATTCATCATCAAACTCTCCAGCAGTCAGAAAAAAAAAATGGAACTTGCATTTTTTGTCTCTGCGGTGTCCAGCATTTTTTTTTTGGTCGTCTGTTAATATATATTATAAAGCTTCAAGGTTCACCTTAATACAAGATCATTAGCCAACCATAACTATGGCCAGCCCCAAATTCTACTCCTGTTAAAACTCTGAGACTACACATCAAACCAGTCTATACTCCCAAAACCAAAAATGAATCCATCCGCAGAGTCTTGAGCATTAAACAGAGGATGAAACTTCCTCATTCTCAAAGCTATTAAATAACCAACAAGGGGCTCCAGTCGCAACATAGGACTGACGATACCCATCTTTAGTGACACTTTTAGTAATGAGGAAAGCTCCTCTATTGTTTTCTCTGCATTCCTTAACAATTCTCCACCATTCAATCCCAGCTAACTTACTCATAATCAAACCTACATCTCCTTTAAAACTTGGCCACGCCTTTGGTCTAAGGATCATCTGAGTCAAGTCACCATCGTCAATAGCAAAAATAACCCGATCTAAGTGATGCGACTTGGTACTTTCTATCGCCCACACTAAGATCTCCAGCTTCGCTTCATGAAGACTTCCAACCTGTGAGAAGATTTTCTGCTATGCAACATTACTTTCCCTTTTTCATCTCTTATCACCCATGCTCCCCCACCCAGCCTCTCATTCTTCAACCAGTCAACACCAATGTTGCATTTGAACCATCCTCTTGGTGGCGGGCACCAACGTTTTGGCTGATTTCTCCCGTCACCTCTCTCTTCTATCTCCAACTTCTTGTCATTGTCTTGAGCTAAATTCCACATCTCAGATTCAACAAAAGTTTTTCCAACCAGATCAATCAAGCATGTTTGTTTTCCTTCAAACAAAAGAGAGTTCATATTCTTCCATAAAAACCATACTAACCATGGTATTGCATTGACCACTGATTCCGGGACCAAATTGTTAGAGCCTAAGGTCAAAAGAAAGTGAATGTTGGAATAGTGGGAAGTCAAATCAAAACTTTTCTCTGGATATGGAACATTCGCATGCGCCCATACCTGCCGAGCAATGGAACATGTAAACAAAATGTGATTGATCGATTCCTCCTGAAACCCGCATGCTTGACAATACGGATCCATCTTAGTCCCTCTCTTCACAAGGAGTTCTCCTGCTGATATGGCATTACTCAACACTCTCCAGAAAAATGTTTTGATCTTTGGGGGAGTTTTCAGCTTCCAGGCTGCATTCTTCAGGACATTTAAAGATGGTAAGGCTTCTGCTTCTCTGATTTCATCACTTCGCACCAATCTGTTTTTGAACCAATACCCAGACTTGACCGTGTAGCCTCCATGCTTGTTATGCTGCCATATCCAGAAATCCTCCTCCTCAAATACCGGTTTCATAGCTAAAATTCTGACCACATCTTCCTCATAAAACAGATCATGTAACGTATTCAGATTCCAGCATCGATTTTCCTGGTCCAGTAACTTATCGACACAAAGCAGAAGGTCCACAAAGATGTTTTTCATTAAAGGTCTCATGCTGGCATCATTTCCAATCCAGTTATCAACCCACACCGAAATTGTCTTGCCATTACCCATCTTCTTTTTGATCCCCAGGACTAACAATTCTTTCCCAAACTGGATGCTGCGCCACGTGTACGATGGTATAGGTCCATTACCTGCAGCCAGAAACTCGGAGAAGGGAAAATACCGACTTTTGAACAATCTAGCAAACAAAGACCCCGGATCATTGAGAATGCGCCACGCCTGCTTAGCTAGCAGGGCCTGATTAAAGCTTTGGATGTCTTTGAATCCTAGTCCCCCTAGTTCTTTAGCTAAAGAAAGCTTGGACCAGCTTAACCAATGCATCTTTCTCTTATGTTCCAAGGCGTTCCACCAAAAGTCTGCCATTGCCTTTGTTAAATTCTCGCAGGATTTCCTTGTTAGCTTGAAGCAAGACATGGCATAGATGGACATGGCCATAGCCACAGCTTTAATCAAAATTTCCTTCCCGCCCAGAGAAAGTTGCTTCATAAACCAGCCAGACAATCTATCCTTCAGTCTATCATAGATGAAACCCAACATCTCAGTTTTGGAACCACTAAAACATTCTGGTAACCCCAAATATAATCCTGATCCGCCTTCCTTAAGTATTCTTGTAACACCCTTGATTGCTGCTTTCATTTCATCGGGGACTTTAGATCCAAAGGTGATAGCTGATTTTGGTATGCTCACTTGCTGCCCTGTTGCTCTCTCATAAACCTTCAAAATTCTCATTAACTCAGTGGCTTGGGCCGTGTCAGCTTTGCATATCATCAGACTATCATCCGCGAACAGCATATGGTGGATCATAGGTCCCTCCTCGGAAAATTTGATACCATGTAATCTGCCATCACTCGCTGCCATTTCCAACATATGGATCAATCCCTCAGTACATAGAATGAAGAGGAACGGGGACATGGGGTCTCCTTGACGAAGGCCTCTTTCAGGTTAAATGCTTCCGAAAGCCTGATTATTGATCAAAGTAGAAAAGGTCACTGAAGATACACAAAACATAACTGTTTTAATCCATATCTCTGCGAATCCCATAGCACGCAATAGGGCTTGCAAATAACCTTTTTCTTTTGGGGGTTTCTTAGAATTTGGCAGTAATCTTTTACGAGGAAAAAAAAATTCTAACAAAAAAATATCCTAAGGAATGAGAATTTAATCAAGAGTTTAGTTATTAACCACGAATATGACAGTTTACTAGGTTTAAATGCATGTGTTAGTGTTGTTGTGATTTTTAAGTTTGACTTACTGTGGAAGAAATGTTTTAGTAAATAATGACTCTGAATCTAAGAAAGATTAAGGGTCTAAGGTCCGAACTCCACTGAAAAAAAAAATATTTATTATTTTATTAAAACTATTATTTTCAAAATAAATGTTTATTTTAGTTATTAAGTGGTGGTTTAATTATTTCTGGCATCAATATGTCCAGGTTTTTGTTTTAAATGATATTCCTAATTTCATAAATTGTAAAATAAGTAGTAATGGAATTTCTTTCTACTATTCTTTTGTCTATGGCCATCCAAAGTCTTCATTAAGATCACAAATCTGGGAACGGATTGAAATAGTTGGTATTAATAGAAGACATGAACCTTAGATGTTATCAGGAGATTTTAATGAACTCCTTGGAAATCATGAGAAGATTGGTGGAGTGTTACGACCTGAAGCCTCTTTTCAAGACTTTAGAACTCTTGTGCGAAATAATGGTCTTGTGGATATTAAAGCCATGGGAAACAGATTTTCATGGGCCGGAAAATGGGGAAATCATGATATACAGAGCTCTCTGGACAGAACAATGGCCAATGGCGCATGGTTTGATCTGTTCCCAACATCAGTTACAAAGTTTCTGGAAATGGGTGAGTCAGACCATCGACCTCTAGTCATTTTCTTAACATAGAACTAAAGAGCCAAAAAAATCTTTTAGATTTGACAACAGATGTGTGAAAATGATGGGTTTAATGATACAATTTTACGAGGATGGAGAGGAACTGGTCAAGCGCAGATGATAAATATCTCTCTTGTTCAGAGATTAGTGAGATGCAGAAGCCATATTTCAATATGGAAAAGATCTAATAGACACAATTCAGAAAAGAATATTCAAAGAGTTCGTATTCAGCTGGATAGAGCCATGACTTCTGTTACTGTTGATACGCAAGAAGTAAATCAGTTACGGGATGATCTAAATCAGGCGTATGTGGAGGAGGAAATATTTTGGAAACAGAGAAGTAGAGTAATGTGGTTAAGAGCGTGATCGGAATGCATCATACTTTCACTCAATCACTAAAGCTCGTAGACAAAAACTTCATCTATCAGTAATCCAAGATGAAAACGGTGTAATTCATCGGGGTCAAAAGGAGATAGCAAAGTTGCTCAGGATTACTTTCAGTCTCTTTTTCAAATACAAATGATGGAGCTAATTCTTTCCCAGAAGTCTTCCGAGATTTCAAGAAACGTGTAACTAATGAGATGAATCAAGACTTGACGCGTACAGTTACAGCTGATGAACTACAACAAGCTATGTTTGATATAGGACCTCATCGTGCTCATGGCTTGACAGCAATCTTCTATCATCAATATTGGGAGGCGTTTAAAGCTGAGATTATTGCAGAGGTTACAAGATTTTTTTATCAAGGCTACCTAGATGGACGGCTTAACTATACAAACATGTGTCTCATCCCAAAGATTTATCCACCAACTGTGATGTCATAGTTCCAGCCAATTGCACTTTGTAATGTGGCATATAAAATTATTTAAAAAATTTTAGTCCAACGACTAAAACATCATTTGCCAAATATAATCACTGAGAATCAAGCTTCTTTCATCCCGGGGAGGATGACTACAGATAACATCATC